TTTCTAGCAGAGATATCTCTATGGGACTGACCCCTCCAGGTCCTTAAAAGAAATGAGCTCCCGTAAGACCCTTGAGCACTGTTGATGCCTGATGGGCCAGCTCTACACATGCCTTACCGAGGAGTCCTTCTGGTCAGTCACTGTTAGGTGCCATTGAGTGGCCCTTAATTCCTAGCAACTCCATGGACAGCAGGACGAAATACTGCCTGGACTATTCTCTGCTGTGGCAGTGAGTAATATTCTCATGTAAGAATTGACTCAAAATAGGAAAAAATAAAAGTCCATTCTCTGAATCAACCACTCCAGTCAGTATCTGTTCAGAGATTTTCTTTTAGAGGGCAGAGTGAGAGAAACATTTCTGAATTCTGTGTTAATCTTCAGGGTTTGTTCTTTGGTGTTTTGCTTTTTTTAATAAACTTGTCTATTTACAAAATTTTAATAAAAATTCAAACAAATTCTTTCAATTTCCCTCACCACCCATCAAATTGTACAAGGGGGATTAATCCCCCCTTCCCCCTATACATTCACACCCCTCTGCGCCCAGCCTCTCCCACCCCTCCTGGATTCTTATACTTATTCTACAATAATGGTCTTATACAATATTTATCCTTGTGGGACTGGATTAGTTTACTCAGCATAATGCTCTCCAGTCCCTCCCAAGTTTGGTAATAATTTACAAAGTTATTGCTCCTATGTGCTGCATAGTATTCCATTGTATGAATGTACCATAAATTTCTTAATCCATTCGTTTGTGGTTGGACAGTTGGGTTGTTTCCATATTCTTGCAATGGTGAATGCTGCTATGAACATTGGTGTACAAACTTCAGTTTGTGCCTCAGTTCTCATATTCTCAGGGTATATTCCAAGTAATGGAATAGGTGGGTCATATGGAATTTCTATGTTTAACTTTTAAAAAGGAAGTGCCAAACTGCCTTCCAGAATGGTTGCACCATTTTACAAACCCACCAGCAAAGTATAAGAGTTCCTTTCTCGCCACATCCTCTCTAACATCTATTACTTGCTGCCCTGTTAAATTTTGCCACTCTTACTGGACTGAGATGGTACCTCATTGTGGTTTTGATTTGCATCTCTTATTGCCATTTATTTGGTGCATTTCTTCATGTGTCTGTTTGCCCTTCTTTCTCTGTGAAAATTCTTTCCTTGTCTTTTGCCCATTTTGTAACTGGGTTATCAGTCTTTTTCTTGTGGAGGCCCAGGAGTATTCAGAATCTTCAGTTTGTTTAAAGATATTGCCAAATGATTTTCTTTTGGCTATTCAATTTTGTCAACATACTTAATGTCTGTTTCTACATGCATTCAATATGGCAGTGTGGGGTAGTGGTTATGGGTGTGGGCTCTGGAGCCAGATTGCCTGGGTTTGAATTTCCACTTTGACATTAGCTGTGTGACCTTGGGAAGTTGCAATTCTCCTGTGCCCCAGTCTCCTTGTCTGAAAAATGGAACTCTACTTTCTTTTTTTTCCCATATACATATCTTATTAATTCATCACTGACTTGTTTTATTATACTTTGATAGTGTTTAAGTAGATTTTTGGAGACCAGGTTTTAATGAGAAGTTGTAGATTCTAAGGAGGAGACATGAACCACCCAGTCACAGCTTCGAATGAGGCTAATTTATGAGGCCAAATGGAGTAGACAGTTGGTTCAGAAGCCATGTTAAAATTAAAAAGCAGTAAGTTTAGCTAACCGACTCTTTGTTATACTGTCAGTTCACAAGCCCTTGTAATGTAATTGACTGGAGATAGGAAAAATGTTATAAACCATGGCTGCAACATGGCTGGTACAATAGGATCTTTTATGACCATACAGGGTAGGACATGGAACTCTGCTTTCTGGAGTGGGAAGTTCACACATATAAAGCATTTGGAGCAGTATGTGGCCTGTTATTGTTGTTGTTAAATGCCATCGAGTTGAGTACAACTCAAAGTTTCCCTTTGAACACTGTCCTATTTCATGCCATCCTAAAATCTCTGATGCACTCAAGCCAAATGTCACAGTCACTGTGTCAACCTACCTGACTGAGGGTCTTCCTCTCTTGTGGTGCCCCTCCACACCTTCCCAAGCATCATGTCCTTCTCCAAGGAATAACATCACCTACCAACATGCCCAAGGTATGTGAGATGAAGCTTCATCATCTCTGCCTCCAAGCAGCACTCTAGCTGCACCTTCTCCGAGGTATGTTCTTTTGGCAATCCATGGGATATTCAGTTCTCTAACACCACAGTTCAAAGGGATAAATTCTTTTATCATCCTTAGCCACTGTAGTACCAAATTAAAAAACAACAACAACAAAACACCACAGAAAAACCCACCACAAAACCACAAAAAACCATCTGCTAAAGTGTTGAGTCTAATTTCTGGCAGTCTCATATCCTTGTAGAAAGGAATTGAACTCTTTATTGTTCACAAGGGTGGAAAGAGTGATCTGGTGGCTTAGTTGTTAACAGGTGTGCTGCCAACCCAAAGTCAAGTGGTTCGAATGCACCAACTGCTCCATGGGAGGAAGCTGGACAATCTCTTCCTGTGCGATTCCCTGCCTCTAAAAACTTGCCAGAGGGATCAGTGGCTATGCGTTGGTTCTGACTTGGTGGTACACACAACAAGAAGACTGTTACACAAGAGAAATTAACTGTTTACAGCAAGCTGGCACACAAGAAGCATGTTAATGCAAGCTATTTACATTGTAGCTTTTCTATTTATAATTTATGCACAAATCTTAAGGTAAGCCTAATCAATAGTCCAGATATTGTTCCCAAGTTAATACAATGTCACATGTAAGTTATGCACTCATTCAAGAAAGATTCTTCAACTCTCTAGAAATCCATTTAATGCAAGTAGTCACTGTTTATTATATCGACATATTTACAAAAAATTACAAAATGAAATTCCACTATAATTCACCATATGACACAAGGGCCGCATACAGTAAAGACAAAGTATTGGGGAAAACATTTACCTCTGTCTTTGGTATTAGAAATCTACATAAATTCGCAGCATTGAAAGTTTCCAATACAAACTATTAAACAAAGACAAAGAGTTGTACTTGGTAATAGCATGAAAAGGGGGTTCTACTATCCCCTGCTAGGAAAGCCCTAGGTTCATGAAATGCAACAGGAAGACCAAACACCATTTTTAAGAGCGGGAGTCTATTTGCTAAAATAAACAGGCACAAGCTACAATACCGTACACAGGAGTTTTTCAATGTGTGTGGGTGGAGCTGCTCTCTACAGAACAGCGTTTGGCTGACATTTGGCTGATGAAACAGACAACATGCCCGAGAGACACAGTTGCAGGTAAGACTTTAGAGGAAAGAAGTTGCTCTAAGAGCACCACTCCTCAAGGGCAGGACCTTACTGTACAGAATATTTTCATAAAATACACTTTAGTGAGCATTTACACATATACAAGAACTTGACTTTTTAGCAAATGGTACGTTTCCTAAAACACAATCACAGTTTACATAATTCTGAGGTAAACATCCTGAACCTATTCTAGATGAGAAGGTCTAGCCATAAAGGTCTCTGTCCATGGAATATCGAATTCTGATGGGAAAGTGCATTGGGGAGTGGCCAAACCATACCATACCCACGTCGTTTCAGACAGGATCCAAAATTTTGAAACTGAATGTTTCTAGCCTAGCTCTATTATGTTAATGTTTTGTGTTGGTTTTGTTTTTAAAGCAAGACGTACTCTTTGAGTTTTGTCAGAACATGACTTGCGCTTCGGAGAAAATATTGAATCATCAAAGGGCCAAGGTAGTGTCTTTAACTTGACTGTCCTGACTATAGCCTCTGGGCCTCCAGGGAGAACATATGTAGACTCCTCACACAAGACAGTGAAGAGTCTGCAGAATAATGTATTGTGAATTTCATCTTTCAGCATTTAATCTACCCCCGTGGAGGGCCTGCAGAGGGAAAGATGCTCAAAGTCATCTCGGGAGCTCATAGTAAAGCCTGAAATGCCTGGTGACCCTCTCTCTGGCCTGGAAATGCATAAAGGACACAAGTGTGCTTTCCTTAGGCAGTCCTCAACAAAGCTGTTCTTGGAACTAATTTAGACATTCCAGAAAAATGGATGAATTGACAAATTTGGCCCAGGTCTTCCAGGTTGGAAGGAAAAGGCATGTGTACGTACTCCTACTATAAAATGACTTCTAAATAATAGCCCTTGATCTGTTTCTGTAAACAATGCCACCTTACTTAGGGTACTTACCAGGCCTCAATTATTTCAGAAAGTGAAGTACAACATTTCCAAAATCACCCCATAATTTCATGAGAGTTCTGAAAATTATTTTATGTACTTTCTCTTTTATAAAAATCAAATCAGGAAATCAAATGAATAATCAAAACCCAAGTGTGTATTTCAGCACTTACGAAGCAAACCTGAGCAACTGCCTCCACTTTGCCCATGAGGAACATCTGGGGGTGAAAGTGCTTGCCAGGCAGTGAGTCACCTCGCTGGGTGGTTTAAGAGAAGCAATCCTGGGCCTTTCCAGTAAGCCTGAATGGCGGGGCACTCATTTTCGTCTTGCTGGGAATAGCAAAATTAAACTTCCGGTTCTTTATGCTATCGAAAATTCTGGTGGATGGGACGTGGGAAGAAAGTAAATCTGCATTAAACATTTACTAATGGCTGGCATTCACGGTGTCTGACCGGATGCATGAAAGAGAAACATGAACCAATGTGTCTGCAGCAGGGCTCTTTTGGGAAGAACAGCTTTGGCTTTGCCCTGGTCCCTGACAATGACAGACTGGCAGGCTGCTCCTTGCACAGCTCGAGGCAAGCCATTAATCTGTCAGTACCAGCATCTTTAGAAATCCCAGCATTAAGACTTAGGAGAGGAAAAAGGAGGGAGGGAAGGATGTTGAACAGCCAGAAATGCAGCCTTTTAAACACTTCAGTTAATTCATAGTGCCGTGCAGACTTCTGTTTATCCCTTCTCTGAAATTTCTGGTGCAGAGTGCAAAGCTAGATTGGAATTTATTCATCCTCTTCCACATACGTGGATGGAAACCAGCCCACCTAAAAAAGGAAAAGCAACCAATAAAGCAACATGACTTTGTATCTGGCACTTAAAGGGGGTTCTACAAACAGAGCATCTCATTTTCATAGCACCCCCAATTAAACTGGAGTTTTATGCCCATTGAAGGTGAAGGAGATTGGTATAACCATTCTTAGAAGCCCGGTGGGGTTCGTGATAGAAATGCAAGGATAAAACAAGCTTAAACAGTGTTCTAATCTGCTAGCACACAAATAAATATGTAAATTAAGTATAATACGAGGATCTACTACATAATGATTCCTATTTCTGCTAGAGAACAGGATGTAAAGACAGAGGTATTATGCCCGTTCTTTCCAATTTAGATCACCAGCTCTTAGAGACATTTTCAACTAGACAGAAAGTTTATGCTCCAAGGCTTAGGGACTAAAAATACTGAAATGCATCTGGAAACACCTCAGCCTTTTCGAATAGGAAGTCATCCACTTGCCCATGGGGAACTTCATGCCATGATATGCACTCAACATGTATTTAATGAGTGCCTGTCAGCAGGTTAGACAGAGCATCAGTCTCTGGAAGTCGGGGTCCGGAAGGTGCAGCAGGAAAGGCACCACGGGACTTCTCATCATCACTACAGTGGGTGCCTATGACCACCCACCCTTATCACCCAGGTGTACAGCTCATTGAAAGGGACAACTTACCCGGCCATTTACTTCCCCTCGCCACCAGCCATTGGCACTCATCTTTGTGTAAATCTTCACCACATCACCTTTCAACAAGGACAGTTCTCGCATGTCCCTTGCACAGAAGTCGTACCGGGCAATTGCGATGCCCAACACTTTGGGGCTCAACACTGTGAAGAAATGAGGGAGTCAGTGTTGATTTGCAGATGGCTAACAGCCAGAGAACCTGATCAGATGAATGTCATTGATGTTATCAAAATGCACAGCCGTGATTTCATTACAGACCAGTGATCATGGCAGGGGACCTTGAAAGCAGCAGTTTCAATTCAATCAACTGCTGTTTCAATTCAATCAGGTGCAGCCAAGCTTTATACAATGTTTAAAGCAGGGCTTGGAAATGGTTCATTCTGGATGATCTCTGCTGAGAATTTGCATTTCCACCTCAGGTATACTAAATCAGAAATGAAGTTCTAACAAGGTGCTCAGGTGATTTTTTTTTTCAATCCATAGTTGACAGATATGCATACATGTTACCATACCAGTTCTGAGTCAGTATATCAAGGTTGAAAATGCAAACTTCCCTTTAGAGAGGCTGACACAGAATGAACCGGTTCAAAGCTCTGATTGAAAGATTCATCGTTCTGCTTTCACATTATTCAAATGAACTTTAAAATACAGAAAGAGTGTGTTTTGTAAGATGTGGCTGCATAACTCAGTTACTATCTAAGGAGAAAGAATCTCAGATAACTTTAGCATAAATTTCCTCTTGATGGCATAGTAATCTATTTTTAACTAAAATCTTTATGGTGAAAATCTTTGCTTTCTTATCTACTGTACATCTTGCAGAACTCTCTTTAACTAATACGCAGAACAATTTTTCCCCCCTCTCATAACATCTCCTGCCTCATCCATGTCATCACTTCTAGTTAAACAGTACTTTCTTGGTTACAATTATTAGGGGATATTAATTTTAATAACATCATTAATGGTTATTAATTTATATATTCACTTATATCAAGGGGCCTGAAGCAGGTTTCCCAGAAAGAAAACACAAACACCATCCTAAGATCTCCTCCTTTGCAAATAAATGTTGCCTTACAGAAAAGTCTCCTGACTGAAGTCTCTAATCAAAACCAAGATGGCTGTGTGCTCATCTTCTCTATTCAGAGCTAATTTGTCGGGGAGGAGGATGTTCAGAGAGCAGCTTCCCTTACTCCCTGCTCCTGTCTATTCTGTTACAGTCCTGAAAACAAAGCTTTGCTCAAGTTCTACGTGTTTGCTAGTCTCTAGTGTTCCATAACACATTTTATATTAACTTCTCTACCTGTTGCTCTTTGGGGTTATAAAGTGTTTTCAATTATATGTTCAGTGATTCTGAGAATCACCCACCTGAGATTGGTAGAGGAACTGAAGTGTGAGAAAGAGACAAATGGGGAACGCCACACATCTGCATCTCTCACAGCCCTCAGCTGCCAGGCAGCAGCAGCTGCGACCCCGACGAGCCCACCCACTCTGAGCAGGGAGGACTCTCCGGCCCATTTTTCATGGCTGTGTAATGACAGGAATTTGTTAGTCCCCAGGTGTTGATCATACGATAAATGAATGGCAAAGCTGTAGATTTCAGAACTGTAAAGGGAGTAAAAATTGGTCACTTTATTTTAGTGTACAGGCACAAACGACTTTAATAGTTTTCTTACTGAAAACTATCCCATTACTGGGGCAGTACTCTAAAGAGCCGGTGCCCATAAAAGCACCCCTGTGACAAAAAACCTCAACCAACAACTTTGCCAGGTGACCTTGTACAGATTCTTTAACTTCTCTCGGCCACATTACTCCCGTCTATAAAAGGGAAGATATGAACCAGATGACTTGAAGCGTCCTTATGGTTCTAAGTTCTAGTATTCCATTGGGATATATAGGCTAATTTTAAAAAATCCGTAAGAAAACATATTTTACTTAGCCATAAGGTATTCCTCTAAATGTTACGTGGCACAGAAGGAGCCATTAAACTCCATGGCCAATGACAGAAATCAAGCCCAAATTTCCCATGCACCAAATAAAGAATTTCAGAATTGACGGATACTAGTCTGCTTCCCCCCAAAGTCATTCATAATGAACCTCATCAATGTGTGCTGGAAGGAGGGCAGCCCAGAAGCTCCTTGGAAGGAAGGACGGTGAGACTTCATCTCACATCCTTTTGGGCAAGCTAGTACGTGTGGTCGATTCCTGGAGAAGGACAAGAAACTTGGAAAAGGAGAGGCTCCCGGGAAAAGATGAAGCCCCTCAATGAGATAGGGCTGCAACAATGGGCTTAAAGCACAGCAGGGATGGTGAGGCTGGGGCATGGCCAGACAGCTGCCTTCCACTGTCCAGAGGGTCACTATGAGCAGAGTCAGAGCTGGCACCACAGGACCAAACAGAGGCAGCAGCATTCTGGAGACTACTTGGGTGGCAAAGGAGTTGGGCTGCCAACCTAAGGTTGGCGATTTGAGTCCACCAGCCACTCAAAGAGAAAAGATGGGCTGTTGACTACCCCAAAGATTCCCAGGTGAAGAAATACAGTAGAGCTTCATCACTGACTCAAAGGCAGTGGGCGGGGCTTGGTTTTGACTTTCAAGACAAAGCTGGGATCTTGGTTCTATTTATTTACTTAAAAGAAATGTGTAACACAAGCTTTTCTCAACTAAGGTTTCTGATTCTCAAGGAAAACAAATGATTTTGCAGCATGCTTCACCTGTCCCCTTTCTTTTCTATTTTTAGTTTCAATCACCCTCCAGCCGCTTAATATTGAAAATAGAGTGTCTTACTGAAACACACGACGGAAACATATACACACACCACCAGAAGTGAAATGCCACGACAAACAATGACACTGCGACAGAGGAGGAGAAAGTGCATGGAGGCGATGGACCTCGAGGGACTGTTTGCAGAGGGATGTAGCTATATGAAAAGCCACACACAGAAATCAAAATACTTTATTTGCAAACAGAAGCAAGTTGAAAAGACATATAAAAGCAGTAAAGCAGTACCTGACCAGAAAGGAGTAGAAGGGGGAACAAAGCTGTAGTCTGGAGGAGTTACAAAAGAAAGCCCACAGAACAAAGAAGGGGCTTAGAGAAAGAAAGAAAGAGAGAGAGAGAAGCACAAGAACATTTTAGGTCTTAGCAACAAACATCTTAATACAGTTATTTTTTAAGCATAAGAAAATTATCACATGTAAATTAGTACCTCAAGCCTCACTTTAATCCACTTATCTCCTAAATGAAGAACAACTCCACTCAATTATTTTTTTAAATGATGAATAAGCCAAATACATAATTTTTCATTTTGGTTGACATTGATTCTGCAATCCAGAGCTGTCTATCCCTTGAAAGAAAGATATGGAATCCCCACTCCATATTGCCATCATTTAACCCTGCCATACAAAGATGGTCTTACCCTTTTCTCCTATCCTAAACATCTTCATTGCGCAGAAATTCACATAAAATACAATTCACTAATTTTCAGTGGGCACTGTGATAGTTTTCTTCACTTTCAGTTCCCTTCCCCCCGGTTCCTAGCACCGTCAACCTTCTGCCTCCATGGATTTACTTCATCTATTTTTGGTAAATGAGATCATATAATATTTGTCCTCTAACATCTGGCTTATTTCACTTGGTATAAAGGTTTCAAGCTTCATCTATGTGATGGCATGAGTTGGTATTTTCTATTTCTTTGTAACTAATACTCAATTGTATGTAAGTGCTACAGGTGGTTATGCAGTCTTCAGTTGGGCACTTGGAGTCGATGGACATTTCTAGCTACTGTGAATAATGTTGCAATGGACATTAATGGACAGGTGTCTTTTAGTCATTGCTTTGGATTCATTTGAGTATATATGCAGAAGTACAACTGTTGGATCATACCATATTTCCATGTCAAAATTTTTTCAGAAACCACCTAGCTATTTTCACAATGGTTGCACCATTTTACACTCCCACCAGCACTGTGTGGATATGGGAATTTCTCCAAGTACTTTTTTTATCCCTGTTTCCCATCTTTAAAAATAATACCCATCCAGTAGGTGTGAAGCGATAGCCTGTAGTTTTGATGTGTATTTCCCTAACGACTACTGTTGGTTTTCTATGTAAAGAACATACACCTTCTATCTTTGTTTGCCAATCATACTATCCTTCTGTGAGACATTTTGCAAGCACTATTATCCTGATGTATCCCCATATTCTGCTATGAAAAAAACAACAACAACATAGCATGTTTACAAGTCACCTGGTAGCTGAAGGTTTGAAGTTAGCAAACTATTTGAGTAAAACACCAGGAATGGTGTTGAGCCTCCTTTCATGTACTTTTGGCCATTTCTGTATCTTCAGAGAACTGTTTTTCCATGCCTTTGGCTCAGATTTTCAACTGGGTTATCAGTATTTTTTGTGGCTGACTCTAAGAGTCCTTGATAAATACTTGGTATTAAACTCTTATCTGGTACATGATTTCCAAATACTTCTTATTCAATATTGAGATTGTGTTAGCCCTCAGCTCTAGATGTCGTGCATAAATCCTCCTTTTTTGCATGAGTGGAAATAATATATTTATTGCTGTAAATATTGAATATGAATTTTGCATCAGAACTAAAACTAGTGCAAAGAAGTCAGACCTCTAGGGCGGCATCAATGAACTACACAGAGCCCACCCCGAATGGGAATCACAGAACCGGTCAGGAGTCACCAACTACTGAGTGTGTGCACAGCAGCTTTGTTTTTATTCCAACAGACGAAACATACATTTAGAAAGAAAACGCAAATAATTCTGAATCTTAATATAGCTGGAAAAATGAAAATATATCCTCCAATTTATAGAGCTGTACTGAAAATTTGCATTACTTTACTTTTAGCAAGAGGTAACATTTATCAAATGGTTTGAAACGCGTGATGCCATATGCAATACTTCATATTCAATATTTCATGTAATCATCACAACTCGAAGAGGAAGGTGCTAATCTTGTTTCCTTTTCACATAGGAGAGGGTAAAAAACACACCCCAAAACAAAACACAAAACCCCCAACTCAAATCTTGCTAGTGAGACTCAACAAGCCACGCTCGTAACTGTTGAATTACTGTACCCACTACTTTGCCTCAAGGACCACCAGATATGGTTCTGCAATGCCACCCACTGATA